TTTCTGCACTTTTTTACTACTCCTATTCACAGCTTTTTGCAAATTTCGGAATTTCATAACTTTTCCCCAACCTCCTTAATTTCACATCCACTCTTCACAAACGATAGTCATGCATTTCTGCACTCCCACACTAATGTAAGCTTTCTTGGAAACTTCCAATTTTTGGTGGGAATTTCCGCCCCTTCGTAGAAGCCCCACCCACTTTTGGAAAATGCACCGAATCAGCAAGTCAGAGCCTCACCTCGTCACTGGAAGCAAAAAAAAACAAAGAGCAGGACAACTTCGTTCGTACAAGATGAGGCTCTGACCTGCTGAATCGGAGCATTTTTCAAAAGTGGGCGGGCTGCTACGAAGCGGGCGGAGCTGCTCATGGTAGGCGGGGCTTTCTGTAGCAGTCCGAAAATGTGAAAGTTTGAAGAAATATCATTCCGCAGAGACATGTGAAAGCGGGCGTGGTCGGGGGCGGAGCTTGGTGGTTGAGTGCAGAAAGCGCGTCTATGAGTACCTTCGTTGCGGACGAGGGGATGTGGAATTAAGAAGGATGAAAAAGATATGAAAATCCGAAACCTGCAACAAAGCTTTAGAAACTGGGCGGAGTTGCCCATGTGCCAATGTCTAGTCCTTTACAATCAAAGTGTATGTGGGAAACAGCAAAAAAACAAGAGAACTCACAGAAGCAGAAGTTATGAAACAAGATTTGAAATGTCCTATGTCCGTGCTGACAAGCAGGCGTGGCCGTCGAGGCGGGGCTCGCAGTGCTGTTTGGCGCGATCTGGTTAGTGAATTGCCCGACCTGACAATTGTGGTGAATTTAAATAGTAGTAAGCAAAACCTTCGTAGTAAGCACCGAGTGCTGATAGGCTACGGCATAAAAGCCGTTAAGCTGAGAGGGTAAAAGCGGCCCTGGTGGCGTAACGGATAGCGCACTCGCCCGGAAAGCGTGAGGTGCGGGTTCGACTCCCGCCTGGGGCACGACTTTTGCCCACAACTCAGCATTCTTGTGGTAGTAAGCACCGTTCACCTGTAGTACAGTAAAATATGGGTGTGTCGTCCACCTACTGTTTGCCTTGTGCTTCCAATATTTTCTGCTCTCCCACCTCTTTTGGGAAAGAATTACGAATTTTTGAAATATTGTAGCAGGTTCCGCCCGTTTGTAAGACGCCCACTCACTGTGAGTGTGTCTTCCTCTTCTCGCTCGCCAACTGACTGCCTATCGTCTCGCACTTATTCTACTCTCTAGAACCGAAATAGGATTTTTTTTATAAAAGGCTGCTTGTCAAGATCGAGCCCTGCCAATAGTGGGCGGTGCTTCTGTGTTTATGTGTGGTCCATACCTGGACATGCCCTACCCATGCCACCCTTGACCATGCCCCTCAAGCTGGCTCTCTCGGTAATGCCGACTCATTTCCTATGAGTCGAAAATCTCTCGTGACTATGTGCAGATATACATAATTTTAGTGTGATTTTGTAAAAAGTTTTGATGTGGTGTAGAGAAATAGTAAGCTCATCCGCAAAATGTTAGGATTTCTATAGTAACTTCTTTTCTCAGTGGAATGCTCACCAGTATGCTCCCATTAGCATTGACAATGGCAGGAAATGCTTCGTTTAATACATCCATCCTCAAATGTACTACAGCTTTCTTAACAACTTATACTCGAAATCCGATCGGGTAGGCGTGGCCGCATGTTTCAACTTAATTTGAAGGTGATTATGCTTCTGGTGAGATATTTCATCTTGACACAATTGTTGTCGTGTCTCTGTCCAACACAGAACAAGATGACAGTTGTCCCAGACTGGAATATTCCACGAGTAACCAATTCCAAGCCATGTTCAACATGCCACGCCTACTCTGGCTCAAGGATAAGGGATATATGTACTATAGCGCGCGCGTTCTCAAGATAACTAACAGTAGAAGAGCATGCATGCAGAAGAGTTGTTCAGAGCGATTAGATCTCAGAACACTGTTATGATCAGAAAAATCCATAGTGACGGCAATTCAAGTTTGGAAAAGGTAGAGCGGTGGCTCACGTAGACACGGGAATTCCCACCACCGTCATGCCGGCTGTAGCCATTCCGAATAATTAGTTCCCGTTCTTAATCATTCCTCAGTATTATAAGCGTGAAAGCTCTCAAAAAGGACCAAGGAGCAGGTTCGACAGCACTGCTATGTATATAGGAGAGGAGAGAGGGTTTCGCTCACAGCGCCGAACGTTCCACTGCGAGTAACTTGCTCTCCATCTGTGTAATGAGTAGCGGAAGCGTTGCGACCCTCATAAATAATAGTTCTAACGCTTCCCTTGTTGTGCCTCCCACGAGAACGTTCACTTTGAAGCTAAAGCAGGGCGCGTAGTTGTCGTTTTTGGACTAGTAGGTAAAAACCCGCGCCTACAGGGGTAGCCCAATGAAAAAAGCCCTATTTCTTCCTTGACTTCCAAGGCGCCATACGTAAACTTTAAATTCTGATTCGACATTTCCACCATCACGTTCAACAACACATTGTGCACCATTGCAATGGTCAGTCGCAGCCTTCTGGATGAAGGCCATCGAGAGATTTTGCCACGCGAAAGTGATTCGGTGCCCGAGTCAGCGAGGTTGTTTATAGTTCCGCCTTTGTAGACCACCCTGTTGAGCTCCTACCGGACTCTGCAATAGAGGGGGTTCGGTTTAGGTAAGACACTTCAATATTTCACCTTGTTCAAATTCTCGATGTTTTTTTTTTATCCTTTGCATCCAAGTAGGCGGGACTTATTCTAACACCCTTCGATTCCACGTGTGCACCCCATCCTGTAGCAGTACGAGCTCTGCAAGCTGGTACCTGCGACGACATGAGGCAGGATATTATCCACGAGTTGGCTGATGTAGCCGTCAGCGCTCACTTCCAGTCCAGGAATAACGACGAAAATATCGATCTTCTCATTCCTAGGAACCGCCGGTCCATACCATCAACCCGCGCCTTGGCGACTGCGGTGAAGATGATATCCTGGACCGTAGCGACGTTGTCGGAGCTGCTCGATGTTGGAGGTCTTCCAGATCAAGAGTGTTGGTCCCCCGGTAGCTCTCCAGGGGTGACTCCATGCAAGAAGATTCGCAGCTGTTTGGAAGTGACGTGAATTCCATAGGCCTTCTTCACTTAAGCCGCGATTGAAAATGTCTTTACATTTTTGTGTACATTAAGGTAATGGACGGGAAACTACTTCTGCTTATCGGGAACAGCTTAGGTATGTTCCGCCCTAATGTTCGTATCCACGGGTTCTGTCTGGACTGTGAAAACTTTACTGATACGTGATTCGGCCAAAGTGTCTTCTTTTTGTTCCCCCCGCACTGTTCATTCACCTTTCAGTCGAGAAAATCCTGCTACCTTTTTCCTAAACATCACTCAAGTCACAAGCAATCCATCTCGCAAAGTAAGACGCAATAGCTTTGATGCAGGACCTCTTCAGTCAGCGTGTTTCAAATGACCCACTTTTGCACAATACCCACTTGAAGTCTAGTTTGTGTCATGAATTCGTTTATGGATCTTGTCTTTCTTAGTTTTCTCAAATATTATTTGGCTCCATGTCAGAAGAAGAAGGTGGTGTATATCCCTTAGGAGCGATGGTTTCAAGGAATCCCGTGGACGAGGACTCGAAATTATGCAGCGCAGGTTGAACGGGCGCCAATTGAGGATGGCTTCATCGATTGACGATGAATGCAGTGACGGAGGGCTTGCTCATACCTATAGATGAACTTTTCAACTCAGGAATTTTCTAACTTGGGTATTCTACACACTCAGTTATCTGCGGCATGTAAACTTTGGTGACACGCCCCATGAGCGGAATGAATTTTCTGCCACTACCCTGTGTGCGCTAAACTAATAGCTTGTTCAAGGCATTAATGGCTTGTATTGCCTATAATCAATCGATTACACTACAAAAGTGACGCAAATATTGCGCATATCCTCCTCTTACATTTGTATTGGTAGAAGCTACGTTCTTCGTCTCTGTGGATATACGACGAAGATGAGATGCCGTTTCAAAGTTATGTGATATGTTTCAGAAAATGTTTCAATACTCCTACAGTGACATGGTCTTCATTGCTGTGGTGTGGACTCTGTCTGCGTGTGGTTTTATGATAAACTCGTTTCTTTTATTCATAATTGTTTCCAAAAGTCCTGGTAATCTCTCACCATATCGCATCTTTCTTGCGAATACTGCTATTAGTCAGTTGATGGCAGACGTTGTTTACGTATTCATTTCACCGAGGTCAGGAGATTTTCTGATTTTTTGGAAATATTTTTCAGTGTACACCGCATACAAAAAAGCAGTTTCCTTCAGTATAAGGTGGAGACCATCCACCGGCTGAAAGCCGCAAGATAGATTCGAGCACGTGTGGGTCAGGGCGCTTTTTGCGCAGAGACTATCACCGCATTCGCGACGCATTCAAAGTAAAGTACCCAAGTGACAGCAGTACTGCGAGATTTCTACATGACGAATCCTCCAGATGATAAAGTTTTTGTAAGTATAAGCTAAGAAAGATCCCGGCTTCTAGGCGAGTGCGCATCTCCAACAGTGGGGAAACGCTCGCTGTTTTCACTGTTTAACGGAAGCGTTAAGAAAGTCTTGAGGAATTTTTGCCTTTCAGCGTATCACCGAAGCGAAGAAGTGCGATCGAGAAAATGTGCTATTGTCTTCCCTCCAACGGAACTGTTTGCTGTTGGGTGCAAAGATGAAAGAAATTGCTGAAAAAAAACACTGCATCCAACTTTAGTGCCTGCGAAATTTTTCTTTTGATATGTCTTTTCTCACGTGTGTCTCTCCTTCTAAATTCGTTTCGTTTAACAACACAGGGAAAAGGAATTTCCCTGGTTTGATTTGAGATGCTGGCTACATTTTCTTCGAAGGCGTTCAAAATGGAGTGAAAAAGTTCCCCAATAAGGAAGCCTTTTGATCACAAGGAGTACGGGACTAACCTTGAGATCAATCGCATATTTTATTACCACGAGGTTTTCAGAGTCCTCTCTGGAGGCTTACAAATCATAGTGATTTATCTCGGACCAAGTCGTTTCCTGGGGAAGGATGTTTGCCGTATGTCCTATACAGCAATGTGTGAGTTCAAGAGAAAATGTTATGATTATCGTAGTGAATGGAATTTTTCAGTGCATTTTACTCTTAACGCTTTCCTGTCGTGGATGATTTCGATGGTTTATCGATGTGTTGTCTTACACGTGAGTGTAATAAAAACAAGAACAGTGATATTGATGTGCCTGACCGCCTATATGATCCCTGTCTCGATGATGGTACGATTGTCTAGTACTTTTTAAAATAGTAGTATCCTACGTCACAGATGACTTAACAAGCAGTTGTGAATTTGAAAATGTCGCCTCAGATCCCATTCTTACAACCATTGATTCACCACACGGTGGGATTGCTCCGTGGTTTCTGAAACAGTATCCTCCCTCGAATCTTGCATAACAGACAGCTGTAAAATTGAGAGACCCATTCCAACCACCTGTTTCGCCTGCGCTCCTGCACACCAGGGTTACTGAATGCCCATACCAATTCTCTAGCATATTCCTTTGGTCGCCTCTTTTACGATCATTCTTTTGACAACCGGAATGAGGTCGATATAGATACTACAATGACAGCAAAAAGGACAGTCAATCGTGACAGTTAGAGTCTACAGAGTAATGAAATGCATAAAAGGGTATCAAAGGTGGATGTGGAGATTCTGTACGTCATATCAGGAGCACTGTCCGATTAGGCAGAATCTGTAGAATTGAAACCGGCTTAAACAAGGCGCTGAAACTCTCGTTGCTTGGAGCGTCTTCGTTCTTACTTTCGACTCCAGTCACATACACCTATAGTTTCCCCAGTGTTTCCGCCTCTCTTTTTTCTGTAGCTTCAGCAGGAAAATTTTGTATCCACCAGGCTTGGACAAGCAGAATTGGTTGTCTGACGACAGTGCTGCAAGATGCAGTGACGCAGAGATGAAAGATGCAGGGGCTTCGTTTAGCATGTGCCTTTTGCTGGTCAAACTCAGTATTTTTTCAGGTGACGTCAATAAATCTTGATACCTATAATAATGCTACAGAAGCTGACAGACTCACTAACCATTCAATTCCAAACATGCAATCTTATCCTATGGTAGTAATAGCGGACACTCTCCAGGTATATTCTACCCTTACGGTATTGCACAAGGTGCACATCATTCGTTGTATAAAATACCTGAACACGCATTTTTCAATGCAAATTTTTTACTGAAAGTTGTCCATTTCATGCGGGCACGCATACCAGAGACCTCGAGTCCTCCCCGTTCTACGGATATAAATTCGCGACCAAACTTGATGAGAGGGAATGGGTGTGAAAGTATCCTACTATATATAATCCGCTAAGTTTGTCTGTTGGTGTGTGTGTGTGTGTGTGTGAAGGTATTATGTATGTTCGTGTGTCGTTGTGTGTTTGACCGGAAATTCATAACTTCCTTCAAAACAGCGATTGTGCGCTCAAACTGATAAGTGATGTAGGAGGTCGGGCAGGAACACTATTGGTGGGTGCAGGAATCGATAACTGCTGACAATTATACCATAGGGGGTCTTAAAAGCAAGGGTCACCGACTCCATAGCGCGCGTCACAGCGACGCTAGGACTTTATTTCCAAGAGCCAGTATAGGGGACAGGATGAGAATACACTGTATTTGGTGTTGGCAGGAACTGAGGAGTTATAACAGCCGATAAGATATCATAAGGGCTCTTAGAAAGCGAGGATCACCAAATTCATAACACCGGCCACAGCAACGACGAGACAGTTCCAAGAAGTGATATAGGGGGCAGTATGGGAACATTATTGGTGGGTGGCAGGAATTGATAACAGCTGATAAGATAGCCAGGAAAATTCACAGCAGAGTTATAGCAACACTGGGAACTGCTCCAGCAAGTAATTCAGAGGTACTTAGGGAACATAAAGGTGGGAGATAAATTCTGACAGTGTCCGACGAGGGCTTTTGGGTGTCCGTGTATCTGCTCACATCACCGTAGCCAAAGAATGAATGGGCGAATTCTTAATGAGTCAAGATGTTTTCCCTTAGCAAAATCCCTCAGTTTAGCGGTCGGAATTGCTTCCACCGCTAAACGCTCGAGTTCCCCGAAAAAGGATGTTGGAGTTGTTGCCCAGTGAGGAATGATAAGAGCCACTGTGATTTCGATATTTTTACCATCGGAATCCTTTCAACCGCTATGCTGTCCTATTTCCAACGAATGGTGATTTTAGAAATATGATATGAGCCTAGACTAAGTGTTCATTAAAAGGGAGAAACATGATGAAATGGGCCGTTTTGGAAACACAGGAATTAGGCTAAGTGTTACTGCTCAGCACAGAAATCCTGTCAAGTATCAGTAACATAGGTTTAACCCTGCGCGCAGAAATGCGCGTCAGCCAGACTGGTCCTGTATAATCAAGATCCCTCTTTGAACATAACATGAAGTCTTCAGGTCTAGATGCTGAAGCCACAGCCAAGGTATCAACACAGTTTTATTTGGCTAACATTTCGGCATGGTTGCCGTTGTCGGAACCAGCTCTTTTCAACTTGTGAAACAAGTGGCTTCGATGGGGCAAAAGGTCCCGAGAATAGTCAAAAATCACGGCATGCTCCCAACTTCATAAAGAAGAATAAAAGCGAGTGGTGCGGACATCCGGCGGACAGCAGACAGATACAAGCTGTGGAACAGCGCATTCTCTGGACTGCTTGAAGACACATGGTACGCTCAAACACATTGAGGGTGTATGAGACTATCAGCCCCCCAGCTGTCGATGTGTCGTGGTCCCCCCGCCCAAAACTGCACGGGGTCAGAGTACGGGACCGTGGGAAAGTCGTAATTCCTTGCTACGCCGCCCGTTTTTGCAAACTCACGTTTTTACTAACACCGTCCGCGCGGCGCGGTCGCGTGCAGCTCTCTTGGCTTTTTGCCAAGTCCTGTAATTGCGCTTTGGAATACAAGTACAACGCAATTAATTTATGCGGATAACATTTTAGGTTCTGCAAAATAAGAACTGAAGATGATGACGAGGGCTAGAACTCAAGAGCAACTGTGCTGCTTCTGCAACAGCCCTCGCAGGCCGCGCATTCCCACAAAACATCAAAATAAAAACGGCCTAAGCGTCCCACTCGTTAGTTTGAAGTATTTCTATAGCATTAGAGCCGGATTCGAGCCGGATCGCAGAAATGCACACGCGATTTTAATTTATTGCGTTTCCTTAGTTTTTTCAATTTTGTTTTATTTACATCTACGTTCGTTATTCTTCATTTCTAGCCTTTGTCATCTTCATCACCTTCTATTCGGACTTTGAAGCATGAGCAATACCTCAAATGTTAGGAAATTGCGTTTTGCTTGTATTGTCATGTTTTATTGTCATGTCCTTGTCATCATCTTCGGTTCTTATTTTGCAGCACCTAAAATGTTATCCGCATAAAGAAATTGCGTTGTACTTGTATTCCAAAGCGCAATTACAGGACTTGGCAAAAAGCCAAGAGAGCTGCAACCGACCAACCGGCGACCGCGCCGCGCGGACGACTCTTTGCATAAACGCGAGGGCGGTGTAGCAAGGAATTACGACTTTTCCACGGTCCCGTACTCTGACACCGTGTTCCACGGTCTCGTACTCTGACACCGTGCAGCTTTGGGCGGGAGGACCACGACACATCGGCAGCTGGGGGGCTGATAGTCTCATACACCCTCAATGTGTTTGAGCGTACCATGGTTTTTGAGGAGGAAACGGCACTATGGGTTTTCTATGCTGATCAGTCGTAAGTCACAGTGTTGTATTGCGGACGGTATCTGCCGAGTCGCCAATGGACGAAATTACTATTTGAATCTAAGACAATTCGTGACACTCTTGTTCGGAGGTCATGTTACGACCTGAAAGAGCTCAGCAGACTAGGATCCAGGAAGGAGTCGTAGAGCACTTACACAGTGCACTACCCAGGCCACATCATCGTTGGGGATTCCAACAGTGGGGCGTAGATCAACAGTGCGCGCGGCGTGTACTCCCGGAAAACACGGAAAAACTCCGCTTTCGGCGAATCGTGTACTCCCAGGACTACACGCGCTCATACGCTCGTTTTGGTATTTTCTTTTTCAACAAGAATTGGACACAAATCATCAAATGAACAATAGAGAAATAATATCCACACATTAGAAGATGCGTAGAATGCTGGAAAAATACGCAAAAACTTTTCTCTCTAGGCCAATGGATAACTCACTGGAGTACACGCGCATCTTCGCTTCTTCTTTTAAGATTTTTCTCTCCTTTTCGCTTAGAATTATTTACAACGAGCAAAATAGTTAATATAGAATCAGTACTAAAAAGTATTACATTAACATTGGATAACACCCATTAACATTCACATTAATATCAAAAAGTACCGACCTTCTTTGTCCGGTTCCAGCCAACTCCAAAAAACTAAATAAAACTGAAATCAAAAACTGGGTGAAACCTATAGAAGGGGAAAATGTTGAAGGAACGGAAAAAACGACTTGTGTCAGTTTTTGCATAGTTATATCCGTTGCGAGCGCGCTAAACCATAAACGGGAACGATTGCCTATGTGTCACCCGCCGCGAGCACGCCGCTCGACAAAAACTGAGTTTTTGGCGAAAAGCCGCCGCCGCGAGCGTTTGAATGGGAGGGAGGTCGTAATGAGAGGAGCGGTGCGTTACTGTTCTGAGTCCTGCACAGCGGAACTTGCTTTGTAGAGAGCTCGGATATGTGAAAAACAGTACAAAAATCTAATTAAGGCCGTTCAATTAAATTTCCATCTCTGAAAACCTCGAGAGGCACAGCTTTGTATGACTAGTAAACAACGATGCCGAGGTTACGACAAAAGAGAACTTGGAGAAGTATTTCAACATTTTCTAGTGTACCACATACCCGGATCCTCTGCTGCACTGCGTCCTTAGCGACGACACTTGTGTGCTGTTCGGTTTAGCCAACCGTGCGTTTAAGAGTTCGCTCCCCAGCGGTCAAGAACGACCCCCCGCCACCCTCGATGGGTCGCACGTCGGTATTGTGCCCTGTCCTGGAAGCACATCAACATCGGCAGCCCCGTTGTTTCATCAGTCTTCAGGATTACTGGATGCGCTCAATACATATAAGCGGCGCAGGGGGACACAATCAATAGGATATTAACGTGCTAGTCGCTTACTTCTCGCGTTTATTTCTGCCCATCTCAGGCCATACCGCGACCAGTTGCAAAGGCATGACCAGTTGAGACTGGCCAGGTTTGGGCGGAACCATATGATTGCTTGACTTCGTGACCCTCTACACCAACGTGTTAAACGAAGGTGCCATACAGGTTACCCGTAAACTGTTCAGAAAACACGAGACAGTGATACAGATCCATATCGAGCACCCTTATAGTGGCACTTGTCAAGGAGTGTCTGGAGGGTTCTGATTGCAGGTGCCCAGGACAATACAACAAGCAGGTCAGAGGGCTGGTCTTGGGTCGGTTGGCACCAGTTTTAGCTTTAGCCTGCGTGTCCAGAATAGAAAAACAGCGCTTGATCATCGATTTGTTTTAAACCGCCGGTACATAACTGAGTGTCTCATTGTCTGATCAATGGGCGGGTGAAATTTATAGGTGTTCAACTTTGCTAAACAAACAATGTCCGGTAATGACAATGATAGATTCAGCTGTGAGATGCCACCAAATACATGACTTGGCAAAATGCACAAACCGAACAACAAAAACATCTCGATCCTTTTTCTGTCATGGCATCCGTTGAAGACAAAATAGGCAATCAACAGCAGCATGTTCAGGGCGGTGAAACTGGTCTCTTCGAGAGCAGAAGGAGCGGAGTCTTTGGAGCTTGCTTGAAAGATGGCCTCTCCAATGGTTATTACCTAATACCCCCTCGATCCCGTGCGCGACCACATAGCGCTGCTATCTATGTACTGATTAAGTGCTGTTCCACTTGCCTGCCATGAGTGGCGGATCAGCTCCACGGTAAAAACGGCTTTACGCAGCCTTGCTTCCGATGCTATGGTCCAAGTGGTTGAGATCCCTACCACAAATCCTAAGCAGCAATTGCATTGAATTGCTGGTGCAAACGGCTTGCTATACCTCATTTGCCCTCACGGGAAAGAGGGTGGTTGCATGGCACAAGTATGGTCTCATGCACTCTCTGTGCGGAGGAGTATATTGACGGAACTGATGGTCGTTCACAGATTATGTTATGCATTTTGAAGAAACACTTTGCTGCAGGTTAAAGGAGCACCTTGACAGTTTAGGAAATTGAGGCCTGAGACTCCACCGGGTTATTGCAGACTACGGAGGTGCGGAGTTTGAAGTCACTGTAAGTATTTCAACAGAGCCCCGCACTTCTCATAGTAGCAAAAAAGTAATCTCACCACAGCTTGACCGCCCAAAACACAATAGCTACTCCCATCCCCGCCTTTGAGGAGTGCGCGGTGGGTTCTGGCCCAGAGCCAGAGCGCTAGGTAAAACGATAAGACTAGGGGGGGGTGGCTGAGAGCAAAAGTGTGGATCATGAATACAGTACAGAGAAAAAGCAAAAAGAAAAAATCAAAAAATCAAAAAATAAAGAAATCAAAAATTATTACGTGCTTCTGGGACACCTTCTGGGACCCGCTCTCACGAACGATGCTGTGTGAGCTCGAGTAATAGATAGCCTCGCCGAGAAGCTCAAATTAGTTCAGAAACAAACTTCGGGTATGTAAGCATAATCGACAAAACAGTTGACACAATAAATTTTGTGGCAATTTTTCAGCCCGGTCTCTTATATGCCATTCTTTGTTGCTCAGCTTTATTAATTCCAATCTATGCCGTAATGTATATATGCCGCTGGAAAATATATTCGTTATTGAAAAGTGGTGCGTTTTCCACAAACACAAAGCGCACTGCTAAAGAGCTTGTTACGGTCAGTGAGTCTTTGTCTCTGTCGTCATCGCTTCAACAACGTACCAACAAATATAGGCGCTCATCCCAGCGGTAGTTTGCGCGAGGCTTCGTACTTCATTTGGGGCATGGCGAGACTACGTGTTTTGCGGTATATTGCCGTTGAACAGTACTCATAGGACGGTACTTTTGCCTAGCACATAGTGACAGTTTTTTTGAAAGAAACGATTTGAGGAGAAACACATCTCTCGCCATGTTCATATGAAATACACCGCCACGCACACCCTATCTCCGGGATATGGAGTGTACATATGAATGCCCTATTCAGGTTATTAGCAGGTATTAGGTTGCCTGGGTTGTCTCAGCGTTTTGAGTGTTTCATTTCAAACGATCATAACTTTCTTAATACTCATCGGATTTAATCGAAATAAGCACCGTTCGAATCAGCACACTTTTGCCAATGTGACACCAGTCGACAAATCCCATCAAAGAAAAAAACTGGGTGGTCGAGAATCCACGAAATCCACGAAGGCTTTTTTGCCTGGTCCTGATTGATGAAGTATTTTCCAGCAAGGAAGTTCTGAAAATGTTTGAAAAGGTGATAGTCGGTTGGTGAAAGGTGAAAGGTCTGGAGAATATGGCGGGTGAGGTAGAACTTTTTCTGTAGACAAGTGCTGGCTGCAGCCAGCCAATTTTTGGGACATTGTCGATTTCCCCACAGTAGGACTCTGCTGTGATGGCGCGGTGACAAAAGTTATAGTGGATCACACCAGCCGATGACCACCACACTGTGACCATAATCTTTTTTCGTGAGGATTCGGCTTTGGAAATTGCCTCGGTGGTTCGTCGGCATCCAACCACTGTCCGGAACGTCTCCTGTTATCATACATGATCCACTTTTCATCACAGGTGACAATTCGGTCCAAAAACGGGTCGTTTCTGTTGCGCAAAAGCAGTGAAGAAGAAACCTCGAGACGTGCCAATTTCTGCCGGTCACTCAAATTGTGGGGCACCCACTTGTCGAGTTTTTCACCTTCCCAATGCGTTTCAGACCATCCGCAACAGTGGATTTGCCAACGCCTAGCTTTTCTGCAATCTCTCGAATGGGATGGGTCAGCCTCCACAAACGCCTTCAAATCCTCGTCAGGTATTGCTTTAGGTCGACCGCTACGAGGTTCATCTTCAAGGCTGAAATCTCCAGAACGAAATTTCGAACCATTGTCGCACGGTGCTTTCTCCAACACTATTGGGCCCCCACACCTGGTTAATTTGTCGAGCTGTCTCGACTGCGGATTGACCCAATTTGTAGTTGAAGAAAAATATCGTCCGAAGTTGCTCTTTTGACATGCTTCAAAAAGTCTTGGGAAAAGGGGGTTTATCAAGCAATGGTGAAACGGCAATTATACCATCAGATAGCGCAAAAATTCTCTTCAGGATGTACTACTGAGACGCAAGGGAGAATGAGTTTTTAATCAGCAATGAATGTACAAAAATAGTAACACAAAACGCTGAGAACTTTCCGGACAACCTAATGGAAAACTGTCACAAGAACAAGAGTTTATTGCTCAATACACATAGAAAATCTACTCACAGGCACTGACACTCCAGTCCGCTGTGCCTGTGTTAGCGATTTTTCCTGCAGCTGTTTTATACGTGCTTGTCCAGTTTGGCAAAGTCACCTCAATACAAACCATATCGAGCTATCTCATCGTGCCGTGTTTATGCATCGGTGAGTTGAA